GCTGCTCTCCCTTTGCCCTCTGACCCCCAATTCGTCCCTGCAGGCCCAACAGCGCCTACGGGACATTGCCCTGGAGTGCCAGGCCGCCCAGCTCAAGCGCCTCAAGGAGACCAGTGACAGGTGTGGGGGCCAAGGAGGGGTCTCAGGGGTCCCCAGCTTTCTGTATTTATCTCACAACTGGGTGGGGGCTGCTTTGGGGCAGCAGTCTGGGGGTCCCTGTAGATCCATGGCTGGGGGGAAGCTGCAAATCAGGGACCTCAGAAACCTGGAAGGGTTTCCCCATCCCCCCAGGCTGGGGGCATCCCCCTCTTTATGGGGGGGGACTCTTAGCAGCACCCAGAAGGGAAATTTCTATATAGTCCCCAAGTTGCAGCTGGCTCTGGGGTGGAGCACGGCAGCTGGGTAGAACAGGCCCTGCCCCCTCGCTGACCCCGCCCATGTTGACCTGCCCCCCGCAGGGAGAAGAAAGAGCTGCAGCGCATCCTGGACCGCAAGCGCCACAACAGCATCAGTGAGGCCCGGAGCCGGGAGCGGGCCCGCAGCCGCGACCAGGGCCGCAAGGAGGGGTAGGGGTGGGGCTTGCTGGGAGGGGAGGGGCTTTGTGGGCAGGGAGGAGCCGAGTTTTGGAGGTGTGGGTGGAACTTATGGGAGGGGTGGGATTCATGGGTGGGGCTTACTGTGGGGGGTCTTCAAGGAGGGGCAGGTGGAGTTCATTGAGGTATGGGTGTGGCTTAGGAGGGCGGGGCTTCATGGGGGCTCGAGTGATGGGCGGAATTTATGGACATGTGGGCAGGGCTTACTGAGGAGGTGGAGCTTATCGGGGTGGGTTTTGGCAGCATGTTGGTCTTTAATGCAGGGGGGCGGAGCCTGTGGATAGAGGTGGGGACTAAGGGGCCAGGCCTTAGTGCCTGCCTAAATGAGGGGTAGGGGTGGGGTGTGGGGGTGGAGACGTTGTTTAATGGGCAGGCCTTGCTGGTCCTGGGTGCTACCTGGAGGGATAGGGTGGGTGGGGCTTATGAGGCATGGTTTGGGAGGGAGGGGAGGGGCTTAGGGAGGGGCAGGGCTAGGGCAGCAGGTTTGAGGAGGGCTGGTTGTTTTGGGGGTTGGTCTGGGGCCCTTTACAGGGGTCCCAGGGCTGGTTGCTCTGGGGGCTTCATGGAGGGGTCTCCTCACTGGGGGCTGGGCTGCCAGTGGGTGGGGGTGTGAGGCTATTAGGGCTTACTGAGGAGGTGGAGCTTAGCGGGGTGGGTTTTGGCAGCATGTTGGTCTTTAATGCAGGGGGGCGGAGCCTGTGGATAGAGGTGGGGACTAAGGGGCCAGGCCTTAGTGCCTGCCTAAATGAGGGGTAGGGGTGGGGTGTGGGGGTGGAGACGTTGTTTAATGGGCAGGCCTTGCTGGTCCTGGGTGCTACCTGGAGGGATAGGGTGGGTGGGGCTTATGAGGCATGGTTTGGGAGGGAGGGGAGGGGCTTAGGGAGGGGCAGGGCTAGGGCAGCAGGTTTGAGGAGGGCTGGTTGTTTTGGGGGTTGGTCTGGGGCCCTTTACAGGGGTCCCAGGGCTGGTTGCTCTGGGGGCTTCATGGAGGGGTCTCCTCACTGGGGGCTGGGCTGCCAGTGGGTGGGGGTGTGAGGCTATTTTGGGGGTGCTGCCCCCCTAAACATCCCCCTGATCCCCACAGGGACCTGAATGAGATCAACCGGCGCCACATCACTGAGTCGGTGACATCCATCCGCCGTGTGCGTCACCCCCACGACACCCCTCGGACTCCAACCCCCCCTCGCAA